AAACATGGCTCTTACACTCAGTCTGCAGACTGAGGTAGAGGTCAATAGGGATGAAGGCTTATTCTAAGATATTTAGAGCCAATTAGGAAGTATTAACCAAAGTGTAAAAGTCTTCAGTCACCCACAGACTCTAGCTGACAGGCAGGAGCTAGCTCCAAAAGGAGTCTTCTATGCTTTGAATGCCCATCAGTGTTTCAGCCTTGACCTGGACTGGGTCTAAGCCGCTTGACTTTGACTGTATGTCATGTCAGCTGCGTTCTCTTAACGTGCACCTTGCTTCAACTCAACCATCCTGTGCTCCTGAGATGTGTCTGCTTTTCTGTAAACCAGTCAAGAAATGTGATGCTCTGGCCAAGTTCCTGAAATTCCCTTTTATCACTTCCCTGTACAGTGCACAGATGGCTCCTCTAGGGAGGGTTGTTTCAAGTAACTTTCTTCCTTCTTATCCCATCCCATTTTCCTTTTGAGGTCTGGACTATGTAGTACTTTGCAGCACACTGGGATCCTGAAGAAGTAAGATCCTTTCCTCTTTGCCTTAACTGAAAAGGCATATTTGACTAACAACTCTCAAATTTATATCGTCATCCCTGAGCTCGCTGCCAAACTGAAGATTTGTATATATCGTCTTTTGGATTTCTCACAACCTTGACTGAACTCCTCCTTTCCCCTCTAAAGTGTTTTACCTGCAACCTTTTCCCCATATAAATTGATGTCAACCTCATCCTTCTCGTTGTTGAATCCAAACACCCTGGAGTAATCCTTGCCTCTCTCTATCTTTCACAGCCTACATCTAATTCAGCAGAAAATCCTCCTGGTTTCATTTTCAAATTGTATTCGAAATCTAGCCACCTGTTCTTGATACAGCAGCCAGGGTGATGCTTTTCAAATGTAAATGAGATCATGTCACTCCTCCTTTAAGACTCTACCATGGATTCTCATTTCACTTAGAATAAAGGCTCAAGTTTTGCTTCTAAGGCCCGAGATATAAATTTATACTAGCGACTCTAGTGTTACCTGCTATTTTGTACTGTCTGGATATGGGAATAAATTCGGCTTACATGGCAAGCACTGTACTATTATAAATTCAGAGCAATAATAATCCTTACAACCTCCCTGGAATCCACAGTTTGGCCTCACAAACTTGAACTCTGTCTGTTGAAAATATTTGTCAATTTGGTTAATGAAGATTATCTTTGCTCTATCTGTAGGAAAAAGGGGCAGCTATGCAACTCGAAATGTAAACAGGAAAGAACTTTAGCTTTTCCTTCGGGCTAAAGAGTCAACTTATTTATTTTCTGTAAAGTACTTATAAATTCACTTTGTGTGATAAATATGTGGTCAAAACCAATTGGACTAAAGGCAAATCATTCTTGGTCATGTGGAGTTTTAAATTCTCTCTACTTTATATTCTTGATATCCTTTCTTCTTTTTTTTTTTTTTTTGCGGTACACGGGCCTCTCCCTGTTGTGGCCTCTCCCGCCGCGGAGCACAGGCTCCGGACGCGCAGGCTCAGCGGCCATGGCTCACGGGCCCAGCGGCTCCGCGGCATGTGGGATCTTCCCGGACCGGGGCACGAACCCGTGTCCCCTGCATCGGCAGGCGGACTCTCAACCACTGCGCCACCAGGGAAGCCCCTCCTTTCTTATTTCTGTCAGAAACATTACTCTGTCAATTTTAAGATAAGAAATTACACAAAACATTCTTCTGCTCCGACCGAAGTTGCCTTAACTTGGGGAGCTAGAGGACATTTTTGCTATAGCTATTTAGCAACCTCATCATTTATGACTCGGTTGGAAGTGGACAGAAAGTTGAGCAGTAAGTGAAAAATGGATCTCAAAGTCTATGTACTTTGCTCGAGGAGAATGAAGACCCACCCTCAGATCTGAGCCTATGAAGAGGGAGTGTTCTGATTGAACTCCATGGTTATCTGGTTTCCATTTAGCTCTTAGCAGACAGCAAATCAGAAACAGGGAGGGGATTCGTGGTGGGCAGGGCCACTCAAAGTGCATTCTTCAAGAAGTGGCACAGAATTCAGAACCTGCAGAGACAGCAGTTAATAGCAATAAAGCTGTTTGGAGCCATTTAACGTAAAGCCCCGAAGATGTTATCACGTTATAGCCTAGTCAGTAAACGCTGTCCAAGATGATGACACTGAGTCATCTGGGAAGAAAAAAGAACACATAAAATAATGTTCAGGCAACATCCTGATTAGATGGAATGTATTTTAGAAAAATGTCTTCCTTAAATGATTAAAAAAAGCAAAACTAGTAGAGTCAAAGCAGTGCATTTTCATCTTGCTTATGTGGGGCCTGCTTATTCTCAGAATATGACAGTTTTCCTACAAAACGCTTATGGACGAGTCTCCAATCTCCCTCATATCTCAAAGTCCACTAATTATCATACAGCTCCTTGCACTTTGAGTGGCTTGTATTGCTAGGCTCCCAGCATTTTTCTCTGTGTTCTCATGTATTAATTCATAGAATACTTACAACGTCCCTGTGAGATGGGTAAATATGATTATCAGCTTTGAAATTAGATGTGAGGGAAATATCACCTGCTGAAAGTCACACAGCTAATCAGCGGCAGAGTCAATCCGTTAAGCTACCTAAGTCTTCATCTAAATGACAGTCCCATGATGGAGGAGAGCTGTCTATGCTGGGTGTCCTTCCTCACGTCTGCACTGTGCTTCAAATGACATTATTTGAGACCTATTTACTCTCTTCTTTATTTTCCTCTGGATACTCTCCTGTGTCTCTCTAAACTTGTGGGTCTTAGAAATTAGCGTGATGCTCTAAATTCTTTTGTATCTAATACTTCTAGTAACAAAGTCTAAGATAGTCTAAGATGGCTTTGCTTTCTGGTGGCAGCCATGTTGGATTGATTTCTCATATTAAGCTTTTATTCAACCCTGCTTGACTGGGCAGCTGTAGTAACTCGCTGACTGACATCCTTGCTTCTACCCTTACCCCTCAGTGTCTGTTCTCTAACCAGCAGTGAGAGTGATCCTGTTAAAACGTTTGCCGGATCACTTCTCTGCTTGAATTCCTCCAATGTCTTGCCACATTACTCAGAGTAGAAGCCAAAGTCCTACAGTTGTCTATAAGGCCCTCCTTAGAGCTTCCTCTCCATCTTCACCTCCTGCCACTTTCCCCGTGCACTGGGCTCCAGCCACAAAGGCCTCTGATGTTTTTGAGACCTTTGCACTTGCTGTTCCCTATGCCTGGAACAGACTCCCCTCAGATATTCATGTGGCTTTCATCCCTTCCTTCAGGTCTTTGCTCAGATGTCATCCTCTCATCCCCACCCCATCATTCACCCTCCTCCTTTCCTGCTTATTGTAAAGCCATAGCGTTTACCATCAGCTATTTGTTTCTTCCTGCTACGCCACCTCGTATAATATGATATCCACGGGAACTTTTCCTGTCTATTCATTAGTGTATATCCAGTATCTAGCGCCTAGCTAGTATCCAGTATCTAGCCAGTGCCTAGCATAGAGTAGGTGGCCAATAAATAATTGTTGAATCAAGATTCTTTTTTTTAATTGAAATATAGTTGATTTACAATGTTGTGTTAGTTTCTGGTATACAGCAAAGTGATTCAGTTATACATATATATGTATATATTCTTTTTCAGATTCTTTTTCATTATAGCTTATTACAAGATGAATATACTTCCCTGTGCTATACAGTAGGACCTTGTTGTTTATCTATTTTATATACATGAATCAAGATTTTTGTTGTTTTGGGCATGAACTGTTGTTGATCAGAGGACTGCTTATTTCTGTGCTGTGTGGTTCTTTCAGGGACATTTAGAGCTAGTTGTAGAACTTTACATTTTGTTAAATCCCTTATTGAAATGGAAGATACAAAGGAAATGAGGCAGACAACATCTTATTTGTTCCTAGTGAATCCCTAGATATATATTTGGGACCAGAGATATATATTGTCCAAGTGCAAACCGCATTCTAAAAATGATATTTCATAGTTTTTGTCTGGCGTCAATACCAAAGTCTTCCACCTACCCTTCTGAAAAATAGAACAGGTTTCCTCAATTTCCACTCTCCTGTTTTTCTGGTTCTTCATTCTTTCACAGAGGATCTGTTCCTTTAGGCCAATTGTTTTTCTGGGTCCCATCCCCTGCGTCTTTAGTGGACTCTTTCCATTCTCAGAATGGTCTCAGGACACTTCTGGGCAGCTGTCAGAACATCAGCATCTTCTCAGTGGAAAGTCAACAAAACTTCCAATAATTCAGTCATCGCTTGCAGTTGGCCATTGTGAGCTAGTTTTCCTACAGGATTATTGTGACCAAATTCTCCTATTTCTCTCGCTCCTCAAAATTTCTTGGCTTCTAGATTTCTCCTGCCTCACTGTTATCTCAGGCTCCTTGTTCATCTGTTTTAACGTTCAGATTTCATATCCTGCTTTCCCTATTTCAATTTGATCACGTTAATCTGATTTTCTGCCTCAGTGTATTGAAGTTGGACTACTCCCATTTTTTTCCTGAACCCAAGAGCTTCATTCAGGAAGCAACCTGAGTAGAGTTGTGTTTCAGCTTTTATTAAAGTAACATTCCACCTCTTGGTTCAGAGCCCCACACACTGCCCCCTTTTCTCTTGACCAGTTTTTCTCTTAATGCCTGTGAAAGCGAGTGGATCTCAGCTTCCTTGAATGTGGAAGGAGCCTGACTGAAACTGCACTGATCCCCTCAGCTCACTTTCTTTTAACCTTCTTGATCATAATTGCTTAAATGTGTCAATTACTTTATTTCTTAGAAGGATCATGTCTTTTGATTCATACCAAGGGTAGTAAGAATCCACCTCTTTTTTTAATATTTATTTATTTGGCTGCATCAGATCTTAGTTGTGGCACATGAGATCTTTCATTGTGGCATGCAGGCTCTCTAGTTGTGGCACGAGGGCCCTGTAGTTGTGGCGCGTGGGCTCTAGAACCTGCGGGCTTCGCTGCCTCGTGGCATGTGGGATCTTAGTTCCCCAACCAGCGATCGGACCAGGGATCGAACCTGCGTCCCCTGCATTGGAAGGCAGATTCTTAACCACTGGACCACCAGGGAAGTCCCAGAATCCACCTCTTTTTGATGTAGCGGAACCAAATCCAGCATGGTCACCAAAGGCCCATGTCCCTGTGCTGCTCTTTATCTACACCTCCATCATTGCTCTTAGACTATTGACAGCAACTTAAAGGCCTGTACTCTAGATTCAAACTGCATGCATTCGTATCCTGGCTCTGCCACTTCCTGGCTGAGTAAGGTTTGGTCATTTATTTAAGTTCTCTGCGCCTCAGTTTCATAATCTGTACAATGATGATAAAAATATTTGCCTCTAGGTTTGTTGTAATGCTTCAATGAGATATTCTAATGCAAAGCACTTTAAACAGTTACTTATTATTTTTTTCCTCTTCTACAATAACATGTACAACTTTGGAATAAGGAGAAGTAGTGGAAACTTTTTTTAAAGGCTTGGTTACTGCCATTTCACCTGGACCTGGAAGACTTGTTTTTTGGGTAAAGAAATGTTTTCCCTGTGTGAAGGTTTCATAACCACAGTCAAGCAGGCCCATGAGCCCTGCCATTTAAAGTGGCTCCTCTCTTGTACCTATGACACTCATACCTACACCCTGGGAATGAGGACAGTGGTCCAGCTCCTGAGATTCTACAGGATAACCACTAAAGTCTCTTTGAATTCTATGCAATGATACATGGCTATGGGTGACCAGAACTTGAGATGGACACTCGCTGAATTTCATACCATGTGGTGGCATTCTGATTTCCTTGTGACCTTGACCAAGCTTTGAACAGGTAAGTGAAAGGGATGGAGGCCCACCGTGAAGTTAGTCATAGAACCAGTGTTTAGCACGATCATCTGAGAAAGAGAAAAGGAGCCTTTTAAAGTTTTTCCAAGTTAAATCAGGAGAGTTAACTTGTGGAGTGGAGGGTGGTCTCATAATTTTAAAAATTGGCCCTGGAAATTAAAATTTATCAGAAAAAAATGAATTCTGTAGAGACAAGGGCAAAATTGTTTATTTAGGAAGGGAAAATGTTACCCAAATAGAGTTTCTGTGAATATGAGTGTAAAATAAAAAGGAAGGAGAGAGAAGTGACTTAATGGAATTGTCTCTAAAACGTGTAAGTCCCAACATTACCCCCGGGACCCCTAATTCTAGAGTTCGTTGGTCACTGTAAAATCATAACACCTTCAGTGTATCTTTAACAGATTTTAAGGAACATACTAAGCAAATGGACAAGTTTTGATTTGGCCATAAAATGTGAGAGCTATGATTCTCTAGGATTAATGAATAACATTTGTTTATTTGATTTCCTTTAGGAAATCATTCTAAAATCTGTTTACATATCTGTCCTCTCCAGGATGAATTTTGTGTTGGTTCAGCAGATTGTTTACTGCTTTTTCTTCTTCTTCCTTTTTTTTTTTTTTTTTTTATCTTCCTGCTCAGTGCCCAACCCAAGTTCAAAGGCTGATGAGAGAGAAAATCTCATGAGGAGTTTTTACTCTAGGGAAGTTGTTCAGTGGATGGGATCTTGGCGCACAGAGCAAGATGTCAGGCTCTTTCTGGCTCCTTCTCAGCCTTGTTGCTGTAACGGCTGCTCAATCCGCCACTGAGGAACGGGCCAAGACATTTTTGCAGAAGTTTGACCGTGAAGCTGAAGACCTGTCTTATCAAAGTTCACTTGCTTCTTGGAATTATAACACCAATATTACCGATGAGAATGTCCAAAAGATGGTGAGTTCTCTCCTATAGCTGCATAAGGATATCAGTTGCTTCTTAAAAATCAGCTTACTGCCCAGGAAACTGAAAAGGGAAATCAAAGAAATGCTCCGAGCTGTGAGGTTGGATGTTTGCCTCAGTATTTCTGATTCTGGAGTCCCAGATGCCGAACAATTGACCTTTGGTTCATTTGGAAAATTGTTAACAAAATAATTCACTGGTCTCAGTCCAGATTCTTGGAAACCAGTGAACATGCTTTAGAAAGTTGCCACCATAATTCTCATCATAGTCAGGCTTTCAAAGCAGTTCATAGAAATGCCATAAGTTATTGAGTTAATAATTTTCCCAAGCCTACAATGTCAACAGGAATGTCTAAAGACTCTCTACAAATGATCTATTAACTGAGAAAAATGCAACTGGAGGCTTAGTGAAAGAGCTAGCCAGTAATTAAGATTACCAGGGGTCGGGTGAGGCTGGACTTGGGAATTCCTTCCTTAATGGTCTCGGAGCTCCGAGGGACTTCCAGAGCATACGGGATCCACAGAACCCTCCGAGAAAAACCATAATCAAACCAATTCTGACAGATCTCAGAATGCTCTGGGAAAGCAAGATGTTTTGTTTGACAAGTGCAAGGATTTAGGGGATTTCTTCCCTCACAGATCCCAAAGCAGTGCTGAAAATGGAGTGACATTATTTAAGAAAAGTTTTTATGACACTTGTACAGCAATACATTCTTTCAAAAATGTAGCTCAGAAGCTTCTTTTCTCAAATAGTCGGTTGCATGTAAATTAAATTACTGCTGCTCTCTGGACAGATCCAATCTGAGACCTGCTGCCTCATCTGAATTCCTCAGGAGATTTTTTCCCCCTAGTTTTCTAAAGCTTAAAGAGATCCAGGAGATTTTGACAGCCCAGTGTTGTCATAGGAGAGCATTTTTCTTGTCTCATAGTTTGGTCTTACCTCTCTTCACCTCTTCACTGTTGCTTTTTTCTCACTTTTTATTTGATCTTTGTTGGAGGTACCTGAAGTGCATTGTGCATTTGTTTTCATTCTCTTTTTTTTTAAACATCTTTATTGGAGTATAATTGCTTTACAATGGTGTGTTAGTTTCTGCTTTATAACAAAGTGAATCAGCTATACCTATACATATATCCCCATATCTCCTCCCTCTGGCGTCTCCCTTCCACCCTCCAGAAAGAGAAAAACAAATACGGTATGCTAACACCGTATATATGGAATCTAAAAAAAAAAAAAAAAAAAAAAAAGGTTCTGTTTTCATTCTTAGCCGAATTGTCCGCAGGTGGTGGTGAAGTTCGACCGGCATCATGCCTAAGAGGTCTGGAGTCAGACTGCTGAGGTCCAAACCCTGGCTCCACCACTTTCTACCTGGGTGAACGTGAGCTAGTTAATGAACCTTTCTCCGCCTTAGTTTTTCTGCCTGTGAAAAACAGCGTAACACTCATATTTGCCTCATAGGGTTGCTGGGACGACAGTTAATACACAAAACCACCAAAATAGTGCTCAATGCTTGTGAGCCTGGGAGAACAATACGATATCATTGCTGTGAATGTGAAAGGGAGTTATAATTGCTCAAGAGACATGTAACAGTTCTGTTGAGGGCCCGCTTGCTGAGAAGGGCATGTTGTACGCCCAGATGTAGTGATGTTTGTTGAATTCACGTTTGGATCTTAAGTGCTGTCATTTTTGAATTGCACTTGTTGATTAGAGGAAAGGCCAGAAATGAAAGGGCACAAATCCACAAAGTGTGGTCGAACTGCAGACAGTATGGGCCCTTTAAAGAAAAGTGAAAATATCTGAATGCAAGAAGCAAGCAGGGGGCCCAATATGTCCTTCCTCCAGCAATGGTGAAGGGCACGTTAGTGCATTAGTGCACCTGTGTGGATTTACCTGGGGAGGGGGCAATGCACAGGGAGAGCAATAGCTCTTCTGTTCTCTTATCACATATATTGAGATCCCCTGATGAAACGGGCACTGCAGCTGGTGGTACAAGAGGCACGAAATGAGCAGGAGACTGAGATATGATCTGCTGCCGGTGGCTATCAATAGAAAGAACTGGAGAAACGGAGCGTGTTCCCCAAGAGCCACTGGAGTGATTTAGGGCGATCAGAGAGAGTTAGAAGAGAAAGCAGAGTTAGCTCTCCAAAGCCTGACTCAAAAAGAAAAAAAAAACTGAGTCTGAGCGGGAACAAGAAAGGATAGAGTGTTCCCAGTTGTATCAGCCAACTCTCTTCAGACTAGAAAGGTGGTGCCTTTGAAAGCTCAAAAGAGAGAAATTTACAATAAATAGGAGGAGGTGCTGTTTACATTACAGGTGGTAAAACTGGTAAGACTTGTAAAACTAGGCCATTCTTTAATCTAAAACAGTGAGACATTGAAAACTATAAGTCGGTTTTCGTAGTATTTAAGTGAATGTAAGGATTGCAGATCCACTGTGGGTAAGGAAGTATGGTTAAGTGCATTTATGGACCCAGTTCTTTACCTTTTCCTATATCAACACCCAAGGTTATGTCACTTTGCAGTGCCATCCCACTGAAGGTGATGTGATCGTGTCCTTCGCCATGTGACTTACTTTGACCAATGGACTGTTAGCAGATGTGATGCAAGTAGAGGCTTGGAAGGGACTTGAACAGTGGGGCTTGTTCTTTGCACCTTTGGCTTTGCTATGAGAACATGCCTGGGTTGGCCAGCTAAAGAGTGAGGGAATGTGTGGAATAGTTGTCCCGTCTGAAACCAATCCCCCAGAGTTGTAAGCAAATCCAGCCAAGATCAGCAGAGCTGCCTGGTAACCCTCAGTGATTCTAGGCACGTAAACAATGAACACATGCCATTGAGATTTTTGGTTGTTTGTTCTGTAGTATTATTGTAGCAATAGGTAAGTAATACAGGAAGAGAAATTTGGGCTGTATGACATGTGTCTGTTCATATCCTATCAGGGTGACATTATTGAGGGCAATCTGCCATTTCCTAATTATCCCTTGGCATAACTTTCAGAGTCAGAATATTGGGCTTGTCAGCCAATCAGTCTGACGCAGTATGGCGATTCTCAGATCAAGTCATGAGACTATAGCTTAAAATAATAGAAGGCAGCAAAACTTGATCAGTATAGTGTCCCCAAATCTCCCTGCTTAGGAGAGGCCCATCAGACAGAGATAAGGAAAAAAGCTTGGTTCAAAACAGGTTTCCAGAGAATTCAGAAACTCACTGAAGATTAATTACCAAATACTTGCTTTAGGGCAAATACTGTTCTCATGTTTGAGATCGAACATTCACCAATTAAACTGTAATTCTCTTCTCAGTAAAATGACGTTACTTTTTTGCATTGCCCCTTTGTAAGTTTATTGTTGGTTTTATTTTTGAAAGAGTCCTTTGTCAGTCAAAAGGATTTCTTTTTTCTTTTTCTTTCTTTTCTTTTTTTTTGCAAAGTCGGAAGCTCTCTAGCAACATAGGAGGTCCCTGGACAATTTTTTCATCCCTGGAAGAGAGCGAAAGGATCCCGTCACTGGCAGGGGCATCCTGGTTCACTGTTCCAGTATTTGACAGTAACTACTACAGCTGCCCCAAATTCCTGTGCGTGCAGCTGAAGGGCGTGTTGAAGACTGCCCTGTTGGAGCCCTGGAGGTCTCCAAAAACACTTCATAAATATTTCTTGTTGAGTTATCAGAAGTTGTAAAGAGAGAGCAGGAGGCCCACACTTACCCTTTGGGTGGTCAGGGCCCTTAGAGTCCTTGGGCACACCTGCTTCCTAAACCTTTTCCGCTGTCTTTAGGGCTGGGGGCACAGGGAACCCAGAGAAGGGTCATTTTAAACTGCTATTCTGTACCCAAGGAAAGAATGTAGACGCCAACCCTGTCTCCAATGAATCTGTCCCACACTCCCCAACACATACAAGTACCTACACCCAGGTACAGGGGTTGGGAAAAGTCAGTGTGATGCAAATACAGTGGAATTCAGGGAATCTGATGCTATCTTGACTCTCCTGAGCTGGCTGTGATACCTTGGGCAAGTCACTTAATTTTGTCTCTTGAAACATAAGAGGGTGGATGGGCCCAGCCAAGATTTTTCAGTGGATAACTGGTGAATGAATAAGTTCCACATGTGGAGGACTAACATGAGTCAAGTGCATTGGAGGCCTGTTCATACTAGTTTTTCTTTGTCATGAAAACTTGATGATGTCCCAGTTGAGTGATGTAATTTGGTGAAACTGAACTTGAGCAACTCAAAATGACATGTTTAATTCCATCCAAATTTGACACAGTTACTCACTGATCTAAGCACTCTGACAGGACACCAGGCAGCCACGAGCTACACCCAGGGAAAGCGGCCTGGTGGTCAGGAACTGCCGCTGCTTCTTAGTGTGTGCCAGGTAACTGGGCAAAAGAGAATTCATTTAATTTTGGCTAAATCCTTTGGTTTGGAGCGGTTCCATGGGTGTTTCAGAGCCAGTTATAGGAGCTAGGGAATAAGGTGGGGTTTTTTTTCTTTGCTTTTACTATTGAGCGCTTTTAACAACAGCTTTGTTGAGATACAATTATGCACCATAAAATTCACCAATTTAAAGTCTACAATTCAATGCTTTTTAGTATATTTGCAGAATTGTACAACTGTCATCACCATCTCATTTTAGAACATTTCCATCATCCCAAAAGAAACTACACGCCCATTAGTAATCATTCTTCCTCCCCCGTCCCCAGCTCTAAGCAACCACTGATCTACTTTCTGTCTCTATAGATCTGCCTATTCTGGACATGTCATATAAATGGAATTATACACTAGGTGGTCTTTCGTGACTGGCTTCTTTCACTTTGCATGCCGTAGCATGTATCATTACTTGGTTCCATTTTATTGCCAAATAGTATTCCATTATATGGATTTTTTTTAAACTTTTCATTGTAAAAATTGTCAAACACATAAAAGAAGGACTAGTATGTTGAATCTCCTTATACCCATCACCCAGCTTCAGCAATTGTCAACACTTTGGCCAATCTTGTTTTATT